AGGAAAAAGCCTACACTTACCCTATATAACCGAGGGCAGTACATTCACATGTTAAGAATCCGGAATTCAAATCAAGACTGGTTGTAAAACAAACATCCGTGTTCCAACTTTTGGTAGGAAGGTCGAACATTCCACACTTTAATGATATAATAAGAATATATTTATGGAATCATACTATGATCAATTAATTGTAGAAATATGTCTGTATATATCCACTTCACTCAGAGTTAAAAGGTAAACTATAATAAATATAGCTTGGATGTAAACGGGCTATGGTAAGTTTGTTTTACAGTAAATGTTCCACAAAATACAGAGTTATATATACGAAACAAATGCCATCCAGCTGTTTGCTATTTCTAAGACTGACTGTCACTTTATAACGTACCCACAGTTTAAAGTACAAGGCATAGTTTATGGTACAGCATAAGTTCAAAGCCTGCTTCTCAACGAGGATTGGTGGGTCAAGTCCACCAAGAACGTATATAAAAAATCCTGCAGTTTTAATTTAGATATAAATACATTTTAAAACCTTAATCATGTATTGAAAAATCCAATTATTAAACCATATATGGAACAAAAAATTACACTTAAAATTAACATATCACATCATAATTAAATACATTTTTAATTAAGATAATAAAATGTAAAATTATTATACTAATGTTTATCATACCATATAACTAATTGTGTAGCTACATTTTAAAAAGTATTTTCCTTAAATAACTGATTTAATCTTATAAAATACTTTATGTATCCATTACAACTTGTACAAATTTAAATAAAAATGAGCAACTTAATACTTAATTAAAATTGTGCATTCAATAAAACAGAAATAATTAAAATTTAACAATTTAGTGTAATTTTTCTCTTTATTTTACATTTGTAATCTTAACTTATTTATTAATTGATCTTTCTATATATATATATATACACATACACACACATATACATAAATATTCAATTAAATTATATTCATTAAACTCACATGCATCTAAAATTAATAATAAAATTTTATAGGTGAATTATATATATATTGAATCTTCTAAATTGTGTTTTCCTTCTAAATTCTTCTAACAAGTAGGAGTTCTTGTCTTTCTTATCTGTGCATTAGATACTTAAATCTTTTATTAAGTAAAGATAAAGAAAATTGCTCACGTAAAAATTTATTAGGAAGTGTTACGACAGAGGAAGTCACATGACCCTGGAAGCATGCGCGCTGCAGTTTCTCGAAGGATCATGAATTTGCCCAGCAACTCTAGTCTGATCGAGATGCCTTCTTTTTTAATATATAAGCATGGCTTGTAGGCTTGTAGGAAGATAGATAATTGAGTTAAGCGAACAGTAGGCACTGTAAGTAAAGCGTGTGAATCGCTGTGATTTATAGCATGTGTTACAAAAGTTGTTAAGTTTAAAGTGACTGTGGAAATTCTATGTATTACAAAAAGTTGCATCGTGGAAGAATAAACTGGGTTAATCAAGAAAGGTCTTGTATCGCTGAAGTTTCTGAGATAGAATTTACACTGGAAATTAACAAACAAGCAGATATGCAACAAATTGGTGTCAGAGAGTGGGAAGGAAACGAAGAAAAAAAAGATGGAAACGAGGAGTGGCAAATCAAACTACGACTTAGCAGATTGGATAGAAGCAATACAAGAACAGCAAAAGAAACAGAAGAAAGAAAAAATAAATGAGAAATGAAATAAGAATAGAGATTACAGCAGTTGTTGGAGGAAAAAGAAAAGAAGCAAGAAGAGAGACAACAGCAGTGGCAAGAAAACCTACAACAGTGGTAGGTCGAACAGCAAAATAAACAAGAGAGATTACAGCAGTTGTTGGAGGAAAGAGAAAAGAAACAAGAAGAACGAGAGAAGAAACAAGAAGAGAGATTACATCAGTTGTTGGAGGAAAAAGAAAAGAAACAAGAAGAACGAGAGAAGAAACAAGATGAGATATTACAGCAGTTGTTGGAGGAAAAAGAAAATAAACAAGAAGAAAGACTACAGCAGTGGCTGGAGAAGAAAGAAAAGAAACAAGAAAAGAAGCTACAGCAGTGGTTGGAGGAGAAAGAAAATGAACAGGAAGAGATACTACAACAGTGGCAATAAAACCAGCACCAGCGGCAACTGGAACAAGAAGTAAACCTTAGACTGCATTTAGTTATGGCCAAGGTCTCTGGAAATACTGTGTGATGCCATTCGGGCTTAGCAATGCTCCAGCAACATTCGAGAGGCTGATGGAAAGAGTACTGGAACGCCTACAATGGAGGATAACCCTAGTTTACCTGGATAATGTCATTGGTTTTTGCAACAACGTTTCATGAGGAAGTATCCCGGCTAGAGGAAGTATTCAAGCGTTTGAAAGCAGCAAACCTCAAACTCCATCCCAAAAAATGCTACTTTTTTTAGTAAGAGGTGCTTTAATTGGGTCACATTGTAAGTG